TAATGTTGCCATCCCTCACATTCTCTATGACAGAAACGGAGATAAAAATTATATTCCCATACAACATTCAATTATCACTACATTCTAAATTCATGGTAACATGAACATTTAATAATAACTTATTCTAAACATGATTTAGCTTGCGCGCCATCTATCGGCACATTATTTGTTTTCGTGTCAATGGTTCAATCAAAAATCATTATAAATAAAAAATACTCCAAAGCAAAGTATCATTAACATTCTCTCCAAAACTAAGAACAAAACCGTAAACACTCGATACTAGCCCAATCCGCGAAGGGCGAGCCATAAACAAGAAACAACAACCACAAAAAAATCATAAATTTAAATTTTCAGTACAGAAAATATTTATTAATATCATAGATAATATGGAAATACAGCCTTAGGCCGCAAATGAATATTTTACACTTCAACATAAATAACAAAGTAATTTATTGAACATTTTCACTTCTTGCTTCATATTTAAATACTCTTGCTGTTCCATCATCTGATGTAGACAATAAAATGTTTTGCTTTTCATTGTAACACATATCAAATATTTCCAGCCAGTGGCCTGTTAGCATTAGAATTCTTTCTCCAGACCTTCCATCATATATTCTGATTGATCCATCCAGGCAGCCAGTGACAAGCTGGTCATTAATCCAAAATATTTTAGTCACCCCAGCGGAAACACCGTCTTCTTTCTTTGAACAATAATGACGCATCATTTGTCTCCCAGCATCCCAAATTGATACTGAACCATTTAATGTTCCTAAAATTAGATAAAAAGTTATAATCATTGTGTCTACAGTGTAATTTATTTTATTCAAGTTATAGTAGACATATTTTGTCAACTTTATTTTTTAAATTAATATTTATTCTTTACCTAATGCCAAAAATCCTAATTGTGGATTTGAAAATGCTACAGTTTCCAAATCATCATCAGTTTCCAATTGGGCAACAACTTTTCCATTCATTGATGTTGTCAATACAGCTTTTCCTGGAAAAAAAAAATATTTCACACATAATTTTTTGTAGTATTTATTACTGTTAAAACATTATATTATAACAACCAATTTATACTACAAATTGTATCCATTATGATAGTTTAACTGTGTAAATAATGTTAGAAAGAAAATTCGACAATGTGCCGGTGTACTGTCAAAACACTAGCCTTACTAAAATGTCGATGTATATGTCCCCTCACTAATCATTGTGACACTTGACTTTGTAAGTGCGCCATTCGCTCTAAAGGATTCTAGCTAATAATGTCCAAAAATAATAACTTGTCACTTGTAGTAAAAACTTATATTATATATGAACAAATAGATATTCCATTAAATCTGTATGCAACTGTCAATTATTATTAAAACTTTTTTTTTTACAAAAGAACAAAGCATTACCATCTGTAGAAATAGAGGCCATAATATTATTTTCAGGGTGTGTATCAACATCTGTAACCCTCATGTGGTGAACATTAGGTGGTACTTGGTGTAGAACGGAATTTGTCTTCAGATCCCAAACTTTTACAGTACCATCTTCATAGCCAGATACTAAACGAACCCCATCTGAGAACAGCTGAAAAATGGTTTTACACAATTAGCATAATTATTTTTATAGTTAAACATTTAACAGGTATATGCAAATGTGTACTATAATAAATTACATTTAGTGACAAATTCTATAATCTATTGTAAATCAAATGGAACCAAAGACAAAAATGTTAAGAATTTGCTAGTTACCTACAACTTTTTGCATTGTATAATATAATACATTAATTGTGTGTATGCATATAATGTCTTACACATTATTATTCTACTAATGTTCCTCCTAAAATACTAAATGTATTTCATTGAGGTCTACTAATAATGTTAACATGTTAGCTGCCATGTCTGACAACCTAATGTTTCAATCAGGGTGTGTTGGACTATATGTCCGACAAGCCATACTTCCATTCAACACCTCGCAGTGGCTTGTCGGAGGTTTTTAATCGAATTGTCGTATACAGCATGATATGCATGGCCCCATAAAGCTTATAAACAGCGGGTCAATTTTTTTCGAAAAATCATTCTGGCAGCTAACGTGTTAATACTAATAAATGTACTTCCATATTTATCAATATTGTTCTTAGTTTAAATATTTTTACTGTTCTAATTCAAATTATAAAAAAATTACCTTGCCACACTCAGTTTTCACATTATGTCCAGGTAATATTTTTGTATCTCCCGAAGGTATTTTGAACACAAAAATATCACCAGAGACGGCACCACAAATGAGTACTCTTGTTCCAAAATGCCAAAGACCCCAAATTAAATCGCCAGCTTCATATTCAAATGCCACTGGCCATTCTTGTGTACTCTCAAAGTTACATTTCCAAACTTTTATTACTCCACTCATGTCAACCGAGGCTAAAAATGCCCCATCAAAACTGAACCCAACGAATATGACAGAATCTTTATGACCCGTACATTCAGTTACAATTTCACCTGTTTCCGTCGACCATACATACGCTTTATCGTCTTCGCCACCAGTTACAGCAAATTTACCGTCAGGATGTAAATTACAGCAGAACACTGACCCTTGGTGTTTATTAAATGCTAAAATTGACTGATCCGCGGGAACTTCCATATCAACATCTTCTTCCTCTTGGTCTGACAATTCGTCCAAGTTATCTACGACTTCCTCAAAATCCGCCACTTCTTCTAGGAACAATAAGTCTTCCATTCCATTGATCTCATCCCCACTGATCGACGACGGTGGTGTATCTTCCTCAAGCAAATTCATTTTTGAAACAAAAGGAAAATGTGGAAAACTATAACCTGAATGTTCTGCAATGCTATCTAGATCTGCTATTTTAGCTGATTATTTATTTGTAATTTTTCATAAGTTAAAAGTTAACATAAATTACTTCGATAACATTTCCCAATATATTTAATCAGATATATAACACACCACAATGCGATGAAATTGTATGATTTTACAAAATGTAAAAATGTCATAACAATCAAAATAAGATTCGAAATTATATAGCAAAATTCAGTGTTGTAAGTTAGTATATGATAATTATTTCTCAAAATCAATACCTATATACACGATCGGTCGACTTAAATTCACGTTTTCCATTGTTCTATTTAAATATTTTCTCACCGATTATGATATAATTTACGAATAATACAATTACATACAAATTAATATTAACTTGGGGTTGCGGTGTTTTGCAGTACATACTACGTACTCTTTGCTAAAAAATAGTAGTGTTTCCACAGAGTACTCTAGGCACTGGTGGTATTTTGTGCAAGTGAGAAAAACTATAGTAATTCTTTCGAGAGTGAGCGATACAGCTATAAATATTTCTTTCAAATAGAAACTGTCAAGCTGTCAATGTCATCTTTCATACGATGAGTTAGGTTAGAAATAATTATAACTTGTAATTTGTGAGTATTTTATTACTGAATTTAGGAAAAAAAGTATTTCTAAAACAATAATATTCACAAACAAAGAAAATAAGTTAATTTCAAATATGGCCTCAATAAAAAATGGTACATTTAATTTCAGTTATAATTCCTTTTGATCTTTATGAAAACATTCTATACCTTTTTATTTACTTCCAGCACTATTGCAAGCTCCTTGCAGCTTTCTAATTGCTCGAAGATTTCGTGGTAAAATAAACATACAAAAGCCGCGCAAACCACATTTTGAGAGACAGCTCTTGATAGACCTAACAAAGCCTTATTATGGACCACCTAAATACACTTTACCTGATATTGTTCTTTGTGATAAAGCTAAAACTGAGCAGAAAAAAGAAATTGACAATCCTTTTGAACGTATACTGGCAAAAGAATGTCTGGACTGGTTTAACACTTCAAAAATGGTTGTTTTTTTACACCTAAATTCCATAAGCATGGAAGATAAAACGCCAATTTTTGCTGCCCTCAAAAAAAATAACATGCATTTGAGAGTATATGGTAAGAAAATTGTTAAGATGGCTACAACTGGAACCCGGTATGAAGTTGTCAACTGTTTATTTAATTCCCATCAAAATATTATATTTGGTCACCCGGAAAGTGCTGACAAAATGTTTAAAATTTTGAAGAAAGCACCACAGCTTGTTGTATTGGGTAGGTACAAAAATTCTTAATGCATCCTTTTAACAAACTTTTTATTGTTTAAAGTTCTTTGCATCCATAGAAATGTTTCCGACCTCAATTTTTGAAAAATACTCTTGTTGATGACTATGGAAGCCTTAAGTAAATCCAACTACATATAATCAAACCTTTAGACCTCAACCATAATTAGAAACTTGATTATTGGAATCTAAATGATGAAATTTTATTCATTTTATAGTAATTGATGTAAGTCATCAAGAAATATAAAAGATAAAATATTCACAGAATTAAAATTGTTTGATTTTCAGCGGGCATAATTGAAGATCGTTTGATGTCTAAAAATGAACTGGTTGAATTTAGCAAACTGCCGAACCTTGATATGGCAAGAAGTCAATTGTGTGGAGTTCTACAGAGTGCTGCATCTTGTCTTGTGGGCCAACTCAATCAGAGCCAACAAACCTTGGTGTCTCATCTTGAAAAACATGTAGAAATTAAAAATAGTGAATCATAATGTTTTTTAAAAGTTATGTAAAATAAAATATAAATTCCTAGTAGCTAACAATTTGTTAATTCATAAGTTTATTTATTTTCTTCTATTCCGGAATGAATGCGATGACTCAAGGAAAATATATGTTTATAATTTGATTTGGGCGTTTCATAAAGTGCCCAGAAGTTATATGCAAAATTGTTACACATTACCTTTTTTGTTGCCTATCATTTATATTAATTAATTTTATATATAAAATTCTCCTGTCATATTTGTTACCATACTCATTCGAAACGCTTTGACTACAATCTTTATGAAATTTTATAAATATATTCCGTAGGTCTGAGAATCTGCTACTATCAATTTTTTAATCCCGTGCGGATGGAGTCGCAGACGATTGTTAGCATAATATATTGACGAAATTTATATAGAAAATAAAAGACGGATATGCTTAAAATTATTATAATTTGCATGTAACACAATCTTTGGCATATATGATTTAAACTTATGACCAGTCTAAAAGAGATCAAAACATTATGGCTACCTTAAAACGATATTCTATTTGTTTTTAACTTGAGCAATGTAAAAAAATGCAAAATTGTATCAAGACACATCTCAAACAACATCTGTGAAAAACCTTACGAAACAATTTGATATTTTTTTTGGAAAACTACACTAGAATAGTTTGTCGATTGAGTTGGCACGTCGGTCAGACGAGTAAACTTATTCGCCGCGTGCCAAATTCAATAGGTCCTATAATTGTTTTGGAATATTATGATAATTTTGGTGTCTGTTGTACAGAAAAGTTAAGGTGCTGTCACACGGCTCGTGGCGGATGCTAGTGCGGTCAGTGCAACTGCTGCTTCCACTTCATCCCGGTCGTGACGCAAACTGTTCATTGACATCTGTGATTTTGAATCAATCTTCCGTCGTCTACCTTCACCCCACCACGAATAGTTAGACTCACTAGGTTGAAACCGTGCAGCGCTTTCTAACCATTTGCTTAGAAGAAGGGGACTCGTAATGTTCTTTGAGTTTTCAATTTTTCCACTCAGATCGATCTCATTGGAGTTATTATTGAAGCTTTCGCATTTCTCAGTGGACAGCGACGAATCGGTGTCTGGATGATTGTACTCTTCATTAGATTCTGGACTACTTTCGAGTCGAGCATCGATGTCCAGAGCATCATCAGGATGAGGCTCGGGTTCGCTCCAAATGCTGTCGTCTGAGCAGATGCTGAATTGTTCGACGTTGCCTTGTGCTCGATCGTTGTAAGTACGAATCAGATGGCCCCATGTTTGTTGGTTTCGATCTGCGTTAACATTTTTTAACTTTCTTCTCCAATTGGCAAACCAGTTGCAAATCTGGAATCAAAACAAGAGTTCATTATTCTAGTCTAGAAACGAAATTATTAACTTCTTTCTTTCCCTTAAAATATTATTCATGCTTGTACTTTTATGGAAGTTTATAGAATTGTCATGAAAACAAAAGTCTAACGACGTTGTTGCGGTTAAGCCTATCGCCCACGGGATGCGAGTAAATAGTTTTTACATATGTTATAGATCCGTACTGAATAGAGTCGTTTACCCATTTTTTTCAATGAGAAAGGGATAACAGCATGTTTTTGTACATGACTTGGCTGTGAACTCACGATAATGAAATAAAGTACTGTTCCTTTAAAATATTTCAAACAATATTCCATTTCATCGGTTTAATATTACCCGAAAACAAAATGTTGCTTTGAAATAAATCAGCAATGATGAACGTTATAAAATGTTGTAAATTATTCGCTTTCTTGTTTATTATACTTATTATTTGCAGTCCAAGCTATGTCATAACGTTTAAGTGCGCGCTAACTTATTATTTGCAAATCAAGATCGCATCTTCGGTTGTGTCTAACCAAGCAGTGACAAAAATAGTGCCTATTTATGTACAAACGGTAATTCTTGGCATAAATCCAATTAGGTTGCATGTAGGTACAAACATATCTACTTGAAAACATGTATTGTTAAAAACTTTGTGTTACTGAATACATAAATCTACAATACCTGTATATAAGTGAGCCCTGTTTCTCTCGAAAGATATTTCTTCTCTTCTCGGTTTGGGTAAGGATTGTCTCTTCGACGAACGAGCCAATCTTTCAGATATCGTTTTATTTCTGGTGTGAACAGCCTCTTCTGTGGTCGCTGACCTGCGACTAAGCTTCTCCTATAAACATGAAATTAAAATGTAATTTTTGCTGTAAAAAAATTATGCAAGTGTTCGTATTGTGTCGTATTGTTCGTGATGAGCGAATGAAAGGTCAGTTACATATAAATAAGTACTTAATTCGAGTGTGACGCACAAAGAAAATAATACATCAGTACTAGAATATGAAAGTAATGAGTCATCGACTAACCGAGTATATCTCCTGTTTCGCACCGGCCTCAAGGACTTTCCGCTGTCTTCTTTAGACGGCGATCCATCCATGTTTGCCTCTTTCGCTTCCAGATCTCTTTGGATAAGTGTCATCGGGTTACAATTTTCCCGTCTTCTTCACAAAATATAATACGACGGATTCAAAAAACAATAATTAGTTGTGTTCAGCTATGTGCGATGCAAGCACGTGCGATGGGCCCGTAGCTTGCGACACGACTCGTGGCCCGAGATGTTGTCGCCGTGGGGGATGCTTACTGATCTATTAAAAAATAAAGACATCAAGACACAAATAGAATCTGTTTAAGGCATGCGTTTAATCGAATCGAACGTGAGATGTAATCGATTGTTGATCTGATATCTATGTACCGATGTAATAAAACACGATGGTCACATTCCACAAAACGTTTTTGGGTGTTATTTGTTAGTGCACGTTTTACCGTATTTAAATTCAATATATTTGCAACTTTTATTACAGAGCACATAATGGACTTTAATCAAATACCTTTGTTTCGAGTAATTGTATTCAGTAATCATCATTAAAAACAAAAAACATGCTAACTGTTACGTGTACTATCGAGGTCAATGTTCTGGCTTGTTCACGTTTAATATTTTCACTCGATGGCTATATCAGAAGTATGTTCACAACGAGAAAACGTATTAAAGGTATTAATATAACACTTTATTAATAATTATTATTTAAATGTACGAACCTGTTTGCGGGAAAGCTCGCGGGCTGTGTGAAAATGGCGTCGGATAAACGGGCGAGAGCGACGGCAGCGCCGCGGCGCGGGCGCTACATTTTGCTGCAAATTCATGTTATTTCAGGATGTCTCCCGCGATGTCTTCAAACACCGTTCAAACAAAAACAGTGATCATGTTTTTTATTTAACTCGCACAAATGACACACAGTTGTAGTAAAATGATACAAAATAATAGAAAATGATTAGTTACTTTATTTCATACCTTACTTTTTTTTAGATCATATGTATAAACAGTTCGATGTTTGTAATTTGATACCGTTGAAGGGATATCACTGATTCGCGACTTGTTTTTAAAGCATTAAAAGAGAAGGGATTGTACCAAGTTATTTTTATCAACAGTGTTATAATAGCAAAAGAGTTAAAATTATTTTATTATTTTCTAGGTGTGGCTGACTGATGTTTATTTCTTTATTATTGCGAATCGTATAAAACAAAATGCTCATCCAATTAATAATGGATTCTGGGCACTGCACGATTAAAATAAAAAAAGCGCTAGACATACCTTCGTAGAGGTATTTATTTACATATGTGCATACGTAAATGAATATAATCGTCCTAATATTATTGTTCTTGCGTAGAACTTAGGAGTAGGAAGGTCATATTTTAATGGATGTGCCCAACCAATTTTGACAGACAGTCTTCCTTGTTTGTAAATAAATAACTCGTTTTATATTTATGAGTTATTTGTAATGCTTTAACACTTGCTCATAAATAATTAAATTATATTTTTACGAAACAAATATTTTGTTATAATATTTTTGTTTTGTTTTTTGTACGGACGACCCAAGCTAAGCTAATCTGTTCCAGTTGGCTTTTTTACCATTCTCTATTATTGATTATCAAAAAAAAACATCGTTTTTTTATATTGTCTTTATTTTAATACTCGTTAGGCGATAATATTATTTTGTATTTTTTTGTTATTTTAAATTTTATCCGCAGATTAAAGTTAAATTGGATGAATTAAATAATAATAGATTTATAATTTAGATCGTATAGTTGTTATTGATAGTAAAATAGTAGAAAAATGGTAAGTCGTCATATAAATCAAATTAATGAATAATAATGCGGTGTCAGGAAACACGTGTGGAAAACATCACATCGCAATTCTTAGCATTGTAGTTGTACACACGTTCCATTTTATTGCCGTATCAGTAAAAATTTTGTCTTTATTTTAAACGATTAATAACGCAAATGTTACGTTTTTTAATAGGTAAACATAATTTAATTTCTAATGGGAATGTGCTAAAATTATCCTATTTGTTTCAACTTTGGTGTCAGTCTAAAAAGCATGCATATTTTAGCAAGCTTGGCGAATATTAATGCCATTAAAATTTGGGACCCTAACGCACACGCAACAGTTTTATTTCTCTTGCTTATGTGAGGTTTTGAGTCTCTCTTTTTGTTGACGCCTTCGTATCGGATTGCTCACGTTTAGGCATTTTTATGCCTACGTAAAAGTATGTATAAGAATAAACTACGCCAAGGTTTCCTGTCAAGAAAACAGTCTCTACTGTAAACGATCCGCATTACCGCTAGTTACTACAAATGACGCAACAAAAGTGTGAGTGACATCATTGAACTTCGTCATCTAACAAGTAGAGTAGATAATACTTTCAATGAATCAAACTGTAATATGTACGAAAGGATTTCAATAAACACAAGTTTAAACTGCAACAAAAATGGGGGCCAAAATATTGTTCAAGTTGTAGTTAAATTTTATTTAATTTTCCCGGGCGATATCCGTTGAGACAGAACGTCAGTATAAAACAGGTACCTTGTCACTTATAGAGCCGTCTCTTTTGCTCCTGTGATAAATGATATATGTTTCTTTTTCTAACCGCGCACAGCTGGCCTGACGGCATCGCGTGCAAGCTACATAAAATCACACTAGCACACATGCGCCGCGGTCGTCCCTCGGTTCGTTTGTATGACTTGCGGCGAGCGCTCGCGTGTTTCACAGTTTGACGTGAACTTGGTTACTATTTTACCTTAACAACCACTGTTAAATATAAAAATGTTCAACCAAAGTGTGTTAGTTAAATAGAAAATATCATAGTGGTCACAACAAGTCAAGCACAGCAATCACGTACTTTGGTCGATAGTAAAACACATTTCTCGTAAAATCCACGTGCGTTGTGTTTACCGGTGTTTAACTGATTGATTTTTTACGTTATGGGTGAAGAAATACCAAACGGGGACACGAAAGTAGTTTTAAAGCGAAAAATAACCCTATTCAATGGTGTCGGTATTATAATTGGAACAATTATCGGCTCTGGAATTTTTATATCGCCGACTGGAGTCTTCAAATACACAGAGTAAGTATACCTAACATATTTTCCCGCCTTTTTATATTTAGCGAAATATTTTTGTTTTATGGCCTGATATGAATTCTATGGACGTAAAAAAAGTAAAGCTAATATGTTGTTTGATAAATGATAACAATATTCATGTAAAAAATTCTATCTTCTCATCCGACCCTTTTTTTGCGAAACCCAATTTGTAGTTTTTTCACCGATCCTCCCTTAAGGTCACATGTTTAGATCGAACCGTTAAAAACTTATAACTACAATTGTAATCACCTAAAATATTATGACGACACAGACAGAGTAACAGGAAGTTCAATAACAGATTTCAATTTACATCCTTGTGTTTCTCGAACGGTACGCTAAATTAGTCCATTCTGTCGCTTGTTTGATTTATCTATACTAATACTAGCCGCAGCCTGACTAATTTTTATGAAGATTTATATTCATATTCAGTAGGTTTTAGTATAGCCAATCTATTTTAATATCGCTGGGATGAAGTCGTGATTTCGGCCATGGGCCAACCATCAGTTGCCCTTGTGCAATAATTCTTGCTTTCATTGTTCATGAATTAAGAATCTATGGTAGTCTATGTTTAAGGGTAATACGGAGCTTAATATTAATTCTTCGTGGATATCATCAATACTGCAATCTTGACCTACTCCTCTTGAAGAGATCAAATCTTCGGTTTCGTCCCCACCGAGGGGCTCAAAGCCTGCCTAAGTTAGGGGTGACTAGGCCACAGCCAATCACTGTGACCCAGTGCGTTTTGATTCATTTTAACAAATATCTTTGAATTTCTTCAATGTTTTCCTTCACGCTTAAGATTCCTACATCGGATAAATGTTGGTACGTTACGCTAAAATCAACTACATCTACCAAACTCCTACTAAAGGGTGGCATTAATTTACTTTCCTCTCTGTAATGTAACTCAACTCTAAACTATAGGCAAACGGTGCTAAACGAGTTTATTTAGAAATATCCGTAAAGATGTATTCCACGAAGTAACATGGGCAATAACATCAGCCGGAAAAAAACATACTTTCCTTATTGAAAATAACAATGGAAATCTGGTCAATTCCAAAGAATCTTGAAGGATAGCAGCCAATTTTGTTTTTTTATTCATATAATGATTATAATACTTCTTGTCACCTAAAGAATAGCGTGACTATTAATAATTTAGTACATTAATTCATGGTATAATCTTTTTGTGTTTAACGTCTAATAGTGTTTGTCTTAACTTTCCATGAAGAAATATTTTTTTGTTTGTTTTTCAATTGTTTATGTCTATAAATATTAATCACTTAGACCTAAGTGATCATCGTTAAGTTAGCGTGCTCCTTTTAAGTTGAACGGCAGCCGTACTCCGAACAAGTTACTTATAAGGCCAAGGTTGATACTGCCACAAATAAAACTTATATCTACACATATTTTGCTTATATCTGCAACTCCTTTAAGTTTGCTGTATTGACACTAATATTTATTGTATTTGCACGCTATTTCAAGTGGAATATTTTGGATACATTTTGTCTTAAAAATGTATATTTAGTCTTCACTAATATGTAGTCACCATAATCACACTATTTCGATAAAATACTCCGATTAACGACTTAAATAAAAACACACACAGGCAGAATAAGGATTTCCTATTCGCAAGTACTTGCGATCAATTGTACGTTCCATAAATTCAAATTGAATTTAAGGTCTTACTAATTTCTGCAAAGGCCCTTTCATACTCCGCCTGCGCTTAGTATGGTAATGCTTTTAAAATTTCATTCATAATAAGTTAAGATTATAAATAAATAACAATTGTTTCAGATCGGTAGCAGCATCATTGATAATATGGCTAGCCTGTGGTTTGCTATCGACTTTAGGAGCACTGTGTTACGCCGAACTCGGGACTTCGATCATGAGGTCTGGTGGTGATTATGCTTACATTTACACGGCGTTCGGTCCTCTGCCGGCGTTCTTGAGGATCTGGATTGCACTGCTTATCATCAGGCCGACGACACAGGCAATAGTGGCATTGACTTTCGGACATTATGTGGTGAAGCCATTTTTCCCAGAATGTGATCCCCCACAAGATGCTGTTAAGCTGCTTGCTGCTGTTTGTTTGTGTAAGTTTTTCATATATTGCCGTATTTACTCAAAATAAAGACTCTTTCACAACAGATGACATGGCTGATTGTCAAGTAAATTGGTATAATGTATATCTATGGATATAAATGTTCACATTGATCACATACTGATAGCGGCAAATTTTGGAGTAGGTTGGCATGTCATTTGACCCCAATTATTAGCAAGAGGCGACTGAACATACTTATTTCTTACCATTGTATGTTGAGAAATAACACGGAAACGAATTAAAAAATGATTTTAATTGAATTTGATTTATAATTAAGGGTTAAATAATGTGACTTTGATTTATATCCGTGCTTGAAGGACCATATTTATAGTACAAGAGCCAACAATAATGACTACATAGTACTAATAAGTATTAAACTAATTTATCACTACTTAATTGACTTTCTAGAACGATTTGAATAAGCATCTTAAAGAGCAGAATCATGATTTCGGCGCCGAGTTGTCGCTGTAAAAGTTGTGCGCGAGTCACGTCTGTCCAAGTCGTTAAGATATCATTAGACGGCCATTCTCTCATTACCAGCATAGTTTTCTTATCCACTATGTGATATTAAATCCCCTTACAATATGCACTTTATCTCAATCTCTTTGAAGCACTTATGACTATCGATTATCGAATTATGCTTATCAGCATTCATAAATATGCCGTGATTTGGTTTCGAATACTTTAAACTG